CATTATCTTCCAATGCCCTTATTTCCTATTTCATAGATTTCCGCCAACCTTCTGATTTCATGGCTTCTTGAAAGGATTTTGGATCCTTTCCCAAAAAACAGCTGCAAGAAATTTGCGATAATTCACATAAAACATGTCACAATTTATATGGTGTGCCAAAGGATAAAGCGTACCTGAAGGAGTGTTGGATGACGGAGAGGACGAAGACGGACTATTAGCAAAAACAGAGTGAGTCACATACGATGTAAAATATTGGGAAATTTTTGTCGAAATCCACGACCCATTTGAATGTCATTAGAACCAACTTCAATAGAAGCCTCATTTGATGCTAGCCCATTAGTATCTTGATCAGAATTAGTAATAATGGGCTGTTGAAGCTCTTGCACGTCAGTGGGCTGCTCACGTGAAGGCCCAGCGAGCGCTTGATTACCATCGGGCAAGTCAGCAGCTTTGGAGCGCTGCTCTGTTGAAAGCCCAGCGTGCGATGGTCCAATTTGTGGATCCGCTGGTTCTGGGCTATCCACGAATTGGGATTGTTGCTCACCCAAAATGCTACCAACCTCATTTTCTTCTTCCAAACGTAATTCAGCGAAATCCTCATGAATTATTGGAGCATCAAACTCATTATGAGAAATATTCACAGCTTCTGGACTCTCAAATAGAAAAACCTCTTCCACAAATTTCACATACCTCGAGACAAAAAATTCTTTTGTAGTCAAATCAAATAACCTCCACCCCTTTTTACCAAACGGATATCCCACAAATACACACTTTCTACTACGACTAGCAAACTTGTCTCCCTTAGTTTTCTGATTATGAGTAAAGCATAAACATCCAAAAGTACGAAGTGCATCAAATAAGGGAGGTTTATTGAACAAAATTTCAAATGGAGTTTTATTTTGTAACAAGGGAGTGGGTGTACGATTAATTAGGTGAGCGGCGGCAAGAACACATTCCCCCCAAAAATAAATAGGCAAATTAGCTTGAAACCTCAAAGCTCTCCCAACTTCAAGAATGTATTTGTGTTTTCTCTCAACCCTCCCATTTTGCTGTGGAGTCCCCACACAAGAGGTTTGGAAAATAATACCGATAGCACTAAAATAATCATGCAAGCAATTAAATTTCGTACCATTATCACTTTGCACAACTTTGATATTTTGAGAAAATTGTCTATCAACCATTGCAACAAATGCTAAAAACATTCTAAACACCTCAGCTTTATCAACCAACAAGTAAATCCAAACATCTCGGGAATAATCATCAACGATAGTAAAAAAATAACGAGCTCCACACGATGAGACATGTCGATACGGACCCCACAAATCACAATGTATTTTCTCAAAAATCCTAGAAGCTCTACCATCACTTTAAGGAAATTTATCTCTAGGATGTTTAGCACGCATACATACCTCACATCCTTTAGCAAGATTATGTTTATTTCCACTGACATGAGGAAGTAACTTAACCACTTTTTCAGAGGGATGACCCATTCGACGATGTCACAACTCCAAGGTCGACCTTGCTTCACCCACATCAACATGATTCACCGAATCTGAATTGCTAAAATTATATAGTCCGTCTCTCCTAGCTAAATAATTCTCCAAGGTCTTCCCTTTAGAATGTTAAATAATGTTCTTTATGTTTTTAAAAAAAAAAATGATGTTCTTTATCTTCATGTTCTTTGATTGTCAATATAATGAACTTTTATTTGTGACATAATGTTAATTCGGGTCGGGCCGAGCCTTAACATAATATCTTGCGCCAAAACCCGGAAAATATAGCGGGCTTTTCGGGCTCTTTTCGGGTCGGGTTTGGATTTTTAACTAAAAATGCATTTTTAGGCTTGCCCAAACCCGTCTTATTTTTGAGCCGGGCTGAAGTTGACCACCTCTAATTATCATGTTCTTTATTAATATTACGGATGTTCTTTAGATATATATAAAGAACATAAAGTTTGGTGTTTTTTTTTACAAAATAGCTATATGTTCTTTACAAAACAACTATATGTTCATTACAATACAACTATATGTGATGTTCTTTATAAAATAGCTAGATGTTCTTTATAAAATAACTGTATGTTCTTTAGTTGACAACTAAATATTCATTGCGTTCTTTTTAAAAAGAAAACGGATGCACGGAGCATTGTGCATCCGCCTCCATGAAGAAAATTTCATATTTTGTCTCTCTCATATTATTTCTAGTGGTTCTTGTTTATATTTCTCTCTTACTTTTTTAAATTTTTTATTTCTAACTATATCCATTCATATATTATTTTATTCTTTTGCCTAAAACTATGTGCTCAATGGTATGGGGCACTTAAAAAAAACGAAGAGAGTATTAATCAAACCAAAATTGAATTTTTAGCTAGAGATCAAATCTAAAAATTATACAATAAAAAACAATAATAAATCAAATTATACAATAAAAAAAGGCAAATTAAAAGAAATTCAAGGAAAACAATTAACGCAAACTTGCTGAAATATTTAGAGAGGCATAACAATATTTAGAGCTTTAAGGGCTCGCAAACTCCAACACCAGGTGGAAGCTCAAGCTCTTGGGTGTTAACACCAGCAGCCAGAGGCAGCGTACGAGTATCGACGCAGCTCATTCCGTCGCAACATTTATACTGACCGTAAGGCTCACATAGATGATTAATTCTTCGACACTCATCAGTTGATGGTGGTTGTTCGCCTAAAGGTAAACATGAACCAACACCAGCAGGAAGGATTGGATCTCCCAAAATGCAATTTAATCCTTTTGCAACATGCGTAATCACCGTAAGCTAAGCACAGTTCAGTTTCGTTCCTACACATGGGCGACGGCCTTGGTGGTGGTGGCTGCTCATAGTATCTGGCGGACTTGTAATTTGCTGCCAAGGTTGGAACTGGAAGTACTGAAAACATGAAATCAAACCTTATATATTTACTTGTATAAATATATGTTATTCAGACTCTTCATTTCACCTTAAATAATATTTGTTTCAGGCCCTCTCGGACATTTATGGGTAGGACACTTTACTACTTTAGACACTTCATTTTAGTTCAAAATCATGAAAAAAATTCACAAAATAGTCAAGTTAAATTATGAAATTAATTCACGGAGTTATTTTTTCATCCAATTTAAGGTTACCTCATGCAGTAGTGTAAAAGTAAGGATTATACAAGAAAAACACGCATAAAATGCAAGATTATATGGTATAATTTCCCTTTATACTTTCTAACAAATTAAACCACTTTGACCATCGATTAATATATTCAATAATTAATTAAAAATTTTAAAATTAATTATACTTTGAAATATATAATGAAACCAATCCAACAATATATTACATATAAATATTTAACTTTTATATATGTAAAAAATGTTGTTAAAATTAATATAAAAATGTCATAACAATGCATCTATTATGAAATGAAAGTGGTTTTCTCTTGAAAATTTTAAGGTCCAGGCGGCTATACCTTGCTTGGTACAGCTAAAGATTGCAAAAAAGAACATGTAACTATTTTGTAAAGAGCATACAATTATTTTGTAAAGAACCTATAGTTGTTTTGTAATGAATATCCAATTTTATATATTTTTATCATATCTAAAGAACATTTGTAATATTAATAAAGAACATGATAATATTATGTATAAACACTATCTATATATAACCACCCTAATTTGAAGTCAAAATTCAATAAACATTTCACATTAAGCAATGAACATTATGTCGCAAATAAAGTACATTACACTGACTATCAAAGAACATAAACATATGTTATTTTCATTTATTTTTTGGTGCAAATATGTTCTTTTCACTCTATGTATATGTTCATTACATTTTGATAGTATGTTATTTTCACTCTAGGTATATGTTCATTACATGTTAATAATATGTTCTTTTCACTATAACTATATGTTCATTACTTTTATATATCATGTTCTTTCCTACAAAACGACTGTAAGTTGCACCGCAGACACCTGTAGGAACCAGCTATTGTTGGTTCTCTCTCCATCCATATTTGCATTGTTTTTTACATTTGGAATTTTTATGTGATAGAAAAATGGTCAAATCGTAAAAACAAAAATTAAAGGAATAGCTAGAGGGAGTAATTTATTTGTATTCATGTGATGAATTAAAAGTACACGAAAATAATAACATTTAAAACATCAGACTCATAGAGAATAGAGAGGTAAACTAAGCTAAGGAGCAAGAACAGTTTATGTATTCGATCAAAAACTTGAGACACCAAGTTCTCAAGAGTATATGATGAGTATATAAGGTAAAATGGTGATACGTACCTGATATAGTATGTATGCAAGCCATTAACATACTCTACTCATCCTTAAAACACATCCAAATGGCTAGTGTATACATAAAATGCTCTGTTATGGCTATGATGTTCGCGATTCTTTTGCTTACTACATCAGGTTTTTCCTCTCTAAAACCATCAGTTTAGTTCATGAAATACATAGTAATGTATTCAAGTGTTATTTCATATATATATCTGCATATAGCTCCTATTACATTATTCATTTTTTTAATATATAATCTAAATAATGACTTGTTATGATTCATGCTTTGCTTTCAGTTCCAACATCAGAAGGTATAAGGCCGTCGTCTTCAGTTCCATCATGTCAAGCTAAAGGCCAACTATGTCCTGGAGGAGGTCCATACACTTGCTGTGAAGGACTAAGTTGCATCACTTCTTATGATCTAGCCGGTGTTGCAGTAGGCGGTTTAGGTTCCTGTCTCTAAGATATATCAAGCAACTCTGCTACTACCATTTTACCTGCACTTTTTTCATTAATTGTATTACAACCTCGATCTCTTTGATGTTTATCATTTAAGTTTTAAGAAAAGTTTCCATTTTAAGTTATGTGTATTGTACGATTAATTGGACTAGTTTGAGTTGATCAACCTCGGTCTAATGAGTGTTATACTCTGCCTCAAGGGTTTCCTCTTAAACAATCCAATTCAAAGTTGATTGAAAAATCTTCAATATTATTTATTATTACTCTATACATATCTTCATCTGTCACGTACTGCAGAAATACCAGTTGTGCATTGGTTAAAAGTTTTTTTTTTTTTTTTTTTTGAAGAACATTGGTTAAATGATTTGCATAAGATTAAAAGATTAAGACTGCGGAAAGAGTGATGGATATCTAAATCCAATAAGGCGTGCCAAAACAAATTCTAATTAGTTTTGTTTATGATCTTGCATCAGCAACTGTCTATGTCAGTAAAACAGAAGCCAAAATTGATCAAAACTGTAGAAATCTTTCATGACTGTGCTGGTAAAAGACGCGATAATAAAGAAAATAAATGACCAAGACTGGATATATGTATATATTAGAGAATTGATCATAATGATTTTGGTATGCTCAATTGTATAACTCGAAACTTGACCATATAATTTGGTGTCAGAACACCAGCATAGCAAAATGAAAGCCAGTCTCTTATTTAAAAGAAGAATAAATCCACAGTATTTTTCATGATACTTAATTGTAGAATGACTCTGATCTGCATTCTGATCACTCAAAGTATGCACAACACAAAAGGAGTCTAAAGTATGCAATGAGCTTAATGAAAACAATGAGACTAGAATTAAAACCTGATTCAGACGGAATCAATTCCATTGATGTGAATTTCATCAAGGAGAACTTCAGGCACATGTGAAATATGAGAGTAATCTTCGCCTGTATATTTTGCACATCTTTTACTGAGATGGGGGCAGTTCTTAATCAGTAGCTTCTGCAAGCAATTCAGCTGACTGAATCCCTCGGGTATAGCTACTAAATTTATGCAACTGTATATTTGAATTCTTCTAAGGGAGGTGAAAATCTGCAACCAATTTGGAAGCATTGTTAAACTTATACAGCTATAAATCCAGAGATATTGAAGAGAGTTTGCAGCAGATTGGATTCCATCAGGCAAATGTTTTAGCTTTGTAACCCCGGTAATTTCCAAGGTTCGAAGGCTTTGAAGCCCACACAGGTTGCTTCCTTTCTCCAAATCGATCTCTTGACAATTACGGATGACTAATGTCTCGAGGGAAACAAGGTGTTTCATGCTATCCGGAAGACAAGTCAATCTAGGACAGTTTACAATGTGAAGTTCTAGCAGGGATGTATGGAATTGAATAGACGATCCATTCCATAGTGATGTTAGCCTTTTACATGAATACAATTCTAGTCTCCCCAAAGTACTTAAGTCACATAATTTGGTGCTAGTTAAACTCTCTTGGTTTGTAGTCACAGACAAGTACCTTAGGCTTACCAACTGATCGATATTCCTAGGTAGCTCTTGTAACATCTCACAACCAGGAAGAAACAAAGACTGTAGATTCAATAACTTGCATATTGAACTTGGAAGAAATTTGATGACAGGATTATATGACAGGTCAAGATATCTGAGATGCTTCAGGTTCCCAATTGACCTCGGCAACTCCTCAAACTACTCTGGTGAAAATCTAATACACGCAAGTGTGTAAAGTTGTGTATAATACCTTCAATAAATGACCTGCTAATATAACCCATTGCATAGCTAAATCTGAATGTTCGAGCCTTTTTTGCTCTGAGTAGCTCTTTCGGAACACCCTTGTCTGACAAGACTTCACCTCCATCATATCCCCATACTATATGTCTGCATATCTCTGAAGCATTAAGCTGATTGCTAGTTACAACAGCTATTTCTTGGCCAACAATATCAGTTGCCAAATCATGGAATAGATCATGCATTCTAAATTCACTTACAGTTTCAGTAAACACAATAAATGCATCCTGAAGAAGAGATCTTGACAACAGTTCTTCACAGTACTTGTATCCGACTGATTCCAACTCTTCGTCGTTGAATCCCCCTTGCAGAAGGCCAAGTGCACTCCACAAACATGATACTATTGGTGGATTAAGCTTCTTATCCTTCACAAACAAAGAACAATAAGCAAAACACGCTTTCAAATGAGATGGGAGTTTGTTATAGCTCACTTTCAGAGCTTGTTTGATGTCATTGTGTTGTGGATGTAGGTTCACAAGGTTATTTTTATCAGCAATCCGCCTCCATTCTTTTTCATCTCTCTCACTACGTAACAAACTCGCAAGTACCTTGACAGCTAGAGGAACCCCACCACACTTGACAGCAATGTTCTTCCCAATTCTAACAAGATTAGGATATCTTTCCTCTTCACCACTCTTAAATGCCAAATGCTTGAATATGGACCAACAAACATCATTAGAAAGACTATCTAAACAGTATGGCTCAACATTTCCAACTACAGATGCTACCATTTCACTTCGCGTAGTGACCAAAATCACACTCCCCTTTCCCCCTATAGCTAACAAATTTTAGTCTCGCCATACTTTGATGTCCTCAATCCACACATCATCAAGCACAAGAAAATATTTTCGACTATCTAATATCTCAGAAAGCCTTTCATGTAACTGTCTTATGCTGAGGTTGGCTGTGTTTTCATTACTAACAGAACTCAGTATTTCTTCTATTGTCTTTTGCAGATCAAAATTTTCTGAGACACAAGCCCACAACTTAACATCAAAGTTCTTAGTCACCCACTCATCATTGAAAACAAGCTTAGCCAACGCCGTTTTCCCAATCCCTCCCAATCCAACTATGGGAAGCACAACCACCCTACTAGCATCTCCTACACAACTACTCGCTAAACGTCTAACAATTTCACATTTAGCTTCATCCCTACCAATGATTTCTGTTTTCTTCACATAAGCAAATGCATCTAAGGGATTCCTCTCAATACCGTGTGTTTTGACAATATAATGGTCATCCAATCCAAGATCCCTTCTATTAGCAGCTATGTCATCAAAACTATGTAAAAGGTCCCTAATCTTTTGACTCCAACAAAAATGACTCAAAACAGGATTTGAAGATGAAAGATAGTACCTGACTTGCTGAAGAGCATGACCTTTGTTAACTCTACGCCGCAATAAATCAGTCCCAACTTCATCCAAGAGATCATCAATATCATAAACAACAGTTTTCAGATCTTTCAGCCAGATTCTGATGGCTTCACTGTCATACTGTTTTTTCTCTGCATCATGCAGGACTGCACGAATAGCAATCACCTTGTTCTCGATCTTCTTCAGATCGTTTCGAACACGTTGTGCTGCTAAAATCCCTTCAGTAGCATAACTGCAGGTAAGATCACCTGCAAAAGAAGCAATGTGTCCTAGAATTGTTTTTGTGACAGCCCAGAGAAGTGCTTCTGACATTTTAATGATTACAGAAGATTAAGTTAGAAGCCGAGGATTCAGGGATTTTTTAGAAGAAGCTAAGGATGTTACAGAGGTCTGAATATGATTTCATCGGGATTCATGGATCTTGACACTATGCTTCTTTATCTCAAAGAACAGCAATAGTCAATGTTCTTCAAAGTCAACAAAAGTTGCTTACATTTTGCTTTTTTTTTCCACTCTTTGCTCTAATTTGGATTCGGGGATCAGTTCTGGATGATTAGGTTCTACTCCCCTCTCAATTGTTGTTGCAGAGGATTGAACACGCGGTCCTCCAATCATCATTGCATCAAGAGTCAATTAGTGACTAATCCAAATATTATTTAAATTAATTGATTGGTTTGAAACAAATCCACTACAGTTTTTATTAAGATTTATGTGGGATAATTACTTGAGTAAGCATTCTGCAATTTTGGTTTTTAGTTGTTGGTATAATATCTCGAAAAACCTTCATGATATCTATCTATATATACTAAAATAACAACCGTTGATGTCATCATTGCCTACGTGTCACTTTTTTATTTAATTTTTTCCATCCAAAATGCAAGGATGATGTCATATTTTTTTCCTTTTAAAGCTACCCTATTTAATATAGTTTTGAACATATATTCCATTTTGGGTTTTCTACACATATTATGTTATTAAGTTATTAAGAGTTGTTAACAATAGTTAATAATATAATTTAATTTAAATTTCTTAATTAAATATGAAAATTATGCACTTTCGGGAATTGTATATTCATATTTAATTAGAAATTAGTTAAAAAAATGAGGAAGTTATTTTGTTTCATTACGTGTTAAAAGTCTATAATTCAATTCTTATTTTAAAACCGTGAGTCGTACGGAGTTAATCTAGTGAACCAAGTAGTCCACATTTGCATCAAATACAAATTGATGTCAAGTAACTTATTTTGGATTGTAGTACTTAAAATGGGTTGGGCCACAATGACACAAAGCCATATATTTCTACCGACGAAATTTCAGAAATTTGTAGTGCCTTATAAACCAAAAATGAAATCAACGGCATTGGTACCAGTCGTCAAGTCTACTAGACTACCAGCCAACCACAGTTGACCGTATCACCTGTTTGAATGTTTAATTTATGTGGGAATAATAAAACCAATAAGATTAAGGAAAAATGGAAATTAAAAATCCAACTTTTGCACTTTTTCCTCCTAAAAATCCAACCTTTATTTTATTCCTCAAAAATCCAACCTTTATACCCTCCCTTCATCTAAAGGTCCATTACCTGTTGATGACCGGTTTTTATAAGTTAGATGCCACGTGTCATCTATTAATAGGTTAATTATTTTTTTAATTATTAAAAAACAAAAATATTAAAAAATAAAAAATATCATATTTTTCGGCCACCATCCTCACCACCTCCATTAAATCCGGCCACCATTCCTCACCACCTCCCTTTCTGACCATCCTCCCCTTACCCTCCCTTTCCAGCCACAACCCAGCTCGCACCACCACCCAACTCCGTTTCCACCCTCCATTTCAGCAGTCCCGCAAACCGCAACCACCGACTCCAAACCGCCCAGCCACCAACTCCAAATTAAACCACTATAGTTCCTTGCTCAGCCCAAATAATCGCACACACAACGTAGCCCACAATACCATACAACCACCATCACCACCATTCACCTTAAACCTTCAGCTGCAGCTCAATTAGTCAAAGCCAAGGTTCGTTTTGATGTCAATAAAGTAAATGGAATTTGATCCTAATTCTTTAGTACAACTTTTTAAAATTTTAATCAAGTAAACTAGTTGATTATCCATTAATGGACTTTTAATGAATTAAACATGCTTACAATCGACTTTAATTAGAAGAAACATCATTGTAATTTGTAATCCTTTCTTGTTGAGTAAATATTTAGTTGTTTTGTTTGAACAAATTTTTACAAGCTGAAGGAAAGGAGTCCCAGCTAAAAACAGTTTCAATGCTTCATGTCATGCATAATAAGACCAATTTGGTATACTGAGTAAAAATATTGGTAACAGTGTCCAAGATTTTGCATATGTTACGCCATCAACAAAACTGTTCAATTTTAAGACTGGTAGATCAACCTATAAAATACGGAGTATAAGAAACCAAGAAGAAAATATATGTGAGAATCAAGGTCGGCTCAGGGGTTGAAGGCTCTCCTTCTACTCCTATGAGAGGGGCATAGAAAAATTAAAAAGAGGAAAAAAAAAATGTATGTAATGTAGGGCAAAGGAAGTTCTGCCACTTTTTTCTCACGCATTTATTTTAAATATGTATTTTCTAATATCAGGAAGAAAGAAAAAAAATTGCTAAATATAGACATCAGATGAGATCCAACCTTTTCATTTTCCAACTAATTTGCTTATGAAAATCTCAAACAACTGTATTCATTCTATTATCTAACCAACACCTTGAAAAGCCGTTAAAAACAGGTAAGAGTAAAATAATTACCTTGAGAAAATTTAGGCCTTTGATTTTCCAATTCTGCAAATTTGCAAAAAATCAGGGCAGTGGTTTTTCCAGAATCCATTTTTGTATGGGTTTGCAAAGTTGGGACAAACTTGGGGAAGGGGCGGAACGAGGGAAGAGAGGAGGAAGAAACCAGTAGAACAACAAAATTACTGGAATAAAACTTCTCTCTTCCCTGAGAAAACCGGAAATTTAACCTTTCGATCCTTCATTTCCCTTCCCTTCCCTTCCCCCTCTAAGGATCTGTGGGGGTTCACCGCCACCTCCCGTTGCCTATCACCAACATTGCGGTTGATGACTCGGAGAATAATTTCCATTACCATACATTGTTTGACATTGTCTAGCAATGAGTTGTTTTTCATGTTGCGGAACACTAGCCAAAAATAATGATGAGAAAGAGGTACCTGCAGAAGAGCAGCAAAATGAAACGGAGGAAACCGGTGGTGAACCTGTTGTTAAGCCATCAATCGCAAGTAAAAGAGCATCAATAATGGCATCAATAAGGGCCTCTTTAAAGGCTAGCGTCAAGGACATCCTATTAGTCAAATCCAAATTGTCATTCGCAAACATATCTTTCAAAACAGGTGATAAATGGCTTCTCTTTCATAAATTTTCTGCTGTTATGCATGATTATGCTAGGCATGAACATTTTGGGCTATGAAATTTTGGGGCATGTCTAACACAGTCACAAGCATTGTATCAGAAATCATAGTTTGTGAATGTGCTAATAAGGTCTATGAACTTTCTTTCTTTCTGTATCAGACAGCAGCAGGCACAGATACATTCAAGAAGAGATAGCTAAATACGGAAAGGGGAACATCACCGCCAAGATATTCACCTATAGGGAACTATGTGATGCAACTAACAACTTTAGATCTGAGAATTTACTCGGCGAGGGTGGCTTTGGTACGGTTCACAAGGGATACGTAGACAGCTTAAAGCAGGTAATACATTTTCTATCCCGCCCCTTCTTTGTGCATCTGTTCAGCAACGAAATGAAAATGACAAAAAATATATTCAGGTTGTCGCAGTAAAACAGCTAGATAGAAATGGATTCCAAGGGAACAAAGAGTTCCTTGTAGAAGTTTTGATGTTGAACCTTCTTCACAATCCTTACCTTGTGAATTTGGTAGGATATTGTGCTGAAGGCCCTCAAAGACTTTTAGCGTACGAGTTTATGGAAAACGGATCCCTTGAGGATCACCTTCTTGGTAATGCCAATGTCTGAACTCTGAACCATAGAATGAATGTTTAATGTTGCTGGCTTGCTGCCTTTCCCTATCCGACCGACCAAATTATTTCTTCTGTTTGTTGGCTTCCCCTTTTTTTACAGAACTAAAACCAAACAGGAAGCCGTTAACTTGGAAGACCAGAATGAAGATTGCAGCAGGCGCAGCAAAAGGTCTCGAGTACCTTCATGATATTGCCAACCCGCCAGTAATTTACAGGGACTTCAAAGCATCAAACATACTACTAGACAAAAATTTTAACCCAAAGCTCTCAGATTTCGGCCTGGCAAAGTTAGGCCCCACAGGAAACGAGACCCACGTGAGTACAAGGGTTATGGGAACATATGGCTACTGCGCCCCAGAATATGCATCAACAGGCCAACTGACAACAAAGTCTGATGTCTATAGTTTCGGGGTTGTGTTCCTTGAGATCATCTCCGGGAGGAGAGTCATCGATACTAACAGATCAAGTGAAGAGCAGAATCTAGTGCTTTGGGTAATGTTAATAATTACCATTACTTTGATATGATTTTTATTGATAAATCTCTGCTATAGATCATCTAGGGATGATGATGAGCCAGGCTAACAAGTACTGGAATCTTTATCAAATGCAATTATCATTATGTATAGCATACAACAATGTGTTGTAAATCCTCATTAGTTAATAGAAGCAGCAAAGACATCTAGCTATTCGAAAGAGGGAAACTTAGACATACCAATAGACACCCGTTGCACTAAAAAAAAAGGGATTCACACAAGGAAATAGCAAAGAGATTAACGAGATAGGAAAACAATAGCAAAAGGCTATATTCTTACGACCAATGCTACAAGTTATACATCAAAGAAATGCATCAAAATTCAAAACTAGCTTTTAATTTATTAGTAACTGACTAGGTCAAATACCACAGAGGCACAGAGTATAGTTTGAAGTTCTTGAGTAACAAGTTTTCTGCAAATTTTATTGGAATTCAAGTCTAATAACGAAAAGCTATCCAAATTAGCATATCATTTAAAATAAAAATGTATCTTCATTAAATTGCCAAAAATAGGTCCCTGCATCTATTGGTATAAAGCCTTTTATGTTATATGAACTTACAGCAAAGTTCAACTAATATTACAATTACTATCAATTTTTCAGCTACAAACTTGTTATCCAGCTAGCTGAGCGAAAATTATTCACAACCTATTTCTGTGATTGCAGGCACAGCCTTTGTTCAAAGACAAGAGTAAGTTTCACTTAATGGCCGACCCTTTACTAGAGGGTGACTATCCAATGAAGAATCTCTACCAAGCACTAGGAATTGCAGCTATGTGTTTACAAGAAGAAGCTAGCACACGCCCTTACATCAGTGACGTGGTTATTGCACTTGAATATCTATCTACAGAAAAATCTGTGAACTTGGAGGATTATGAAGAAGAAGGAGATGACGATGATGAAGCAAAAGATGGGGGAGAGAGTGACCAGCTAGGCAACGGCACAGCAAAAGAAGGAAAAAAAAGCTGACACAATGACATCTTCAGGTGCTAGATTTTTTAGGTTATGCTACAATGCCTACAAATCTACAATTGTACAGAAATTTCCTGAATGTCTTCTATCGATGTACCCACTTTCCATTTTAAGGCATCTTATTTGATGTTGCCAACTTATACTTTAGGGTCGTTTGGTTCATTAGGGAAGTGTAAATTCCCATGAAATTTCAATTTGTGGGAAATAAATTCCATCATCAAAATCATGGGAATTCAACAAATTTGTTTGGTTAAAAATGGAGGCAGTAAATTTCCATGGGAATTTCAACTTACCAAGGGGGGTAAGGTAAGTGAATTCCCATGTTTTGTGGGAAGTCAAAATTCCCATGAATTTTGATTGCCCCCATTTTAACTTTTTTGTGTCAACCAAACAAGAGGGTGAAAATGAAATTCATGTGAATTTTGACTTCCCACAAAATTTTTAGCAAACCAAACAAGGCCTTTATTCTATTCTTGGCAATCAAAATTTACCATCTTTTTTACAATAATTACACCTTTTTCACCTTCTCTTACTTAATTCACTTTTTTGTAATACCTACCCACTTTTTTTGCACTCTCTACTTTATGAGTTTATGTACATTTTTCTTACATTCACTCACCTTTCCTAGAAATAATAATCTACAGTAACTGGGTACATTAAAAGAAACTGGAGGGAGTTATATTAGCACCTGAACTGCACAGATTCTCCTAAAATAAAGTACAATTCATAAATAGCTTTAGATTTACCAGTTACCACCCAGGTATCCATGTCTGGATCATAATATAACAAAGAAACAACAGTAGAAACTAACAACCTACTTCTAAACAAGGATAAGTAAGCATCTAATGATGAGAAAAGTTGAGCTGATCAATGATGAAAACAGAATGTAATTTCAAGGACATCAGCGAATCAGTGATCAGACCGAATTCAGAAAATCAAAAGGCATTTGACATTTGAACAAGATCAAAACAAACAATTTCAGAATGACAAATGCAATACAAGAAACAATTTTTTTACGATAATATCTTATATCATTGAACTGTGAACACCATTCATGGAGTTATACAATAACCAACACAATATATGCATTTTAAAAACCAAAAATTACGAGTAAGAAGTGAAAAGATACAATAGGTGCATGTTAATGACTATATGGAAATTGCAATCAGTCACATCAATGGTTGATAAACTTGATAGTAAAATACAAGCTTTCCGGTTTAGTGGGTACCTCAAGCTCTTTTGCCAAGGTGAAATTTTGCTGGATGATGGCATCTAATCACTAAACTTCATAAAAGAATTTTGGGAAATGACCAGGTAGAATACCCACATGTTTGACTACATGCAAATTACCAACTTATTTTAGCTACTAGCTCCCAGGTTGTTGGAGATCAATGTCCCAGGCTGAAGCCAATTGCAGCATGAGTTGATCTGGAGTTGCTCCTTCCCATTCCTCAGGGAGCTCTATAGAAGAAGAAGCATCATGCAGACTAAACAAAAGGTCCCTCTTCACTTCAATAGGAATATTAAATATGTCGGGTCCATTTTCAACAACCAAATCCAGCAACTGCAGGGAAAAATCAATGTGCAATTAGCACAAGGAAATTTCATGCTGAGAAATTTGATGATATTGCTAATGCAAAAGTTCAAAATCAAAAAATAACAAATGACAGATAGCACATCACATTTTTTTTAAGAATAAGAGCACACAACATTTTCCACCAACTCTCTTTATTCATTTGTTATTGATTACTGTATAGCTAGGAAGACAGTGAATGGCAAACAGATGAGCCAGACACAGAAGTTGAAGAAATCAAAACCAAACTGCCTGAAATCAAACTAAATGATTATGCAAAAGTGACTTTCTGGCTGCACAACTGGGCATTATCTATCATACATCCGACCTAAAGACAATTAAACCCCCAACCTCAAAACCAAGTTATGCACCATTTGTAACATTGTCAGAAATAAATACTGTACTCAAGCAACACATTGGAACAACAATTACTCCTCTAAAGGCCTAAGAAACTCCACATTAAAGACCTAAGAAAACTCCACATTCAAGATTATTCCCCGCTGTTTATTAACATAGTTATCCCAACTAGATGACATACATTCCCTTTAAAAGTACAAGAAATGTGTGTCTGAGCAGACCATCAAAGTAACAACAAAACAGTGACTGCACTATTCAAGCTTCTCTCCACCCATTCATGACCTCATTCTGTTGCCACTATTCTTCTCAATCCTTAAATATCCTCATTGATTTTGAATAGTATTAGTGATAGTAGCAGTTTCTAGCACTAGGAAAGTATCACCAAATTCTAACCAAAACACTTGGAAACAGTCAGAGAAGACCACCATACTACATCTATCAACAGATATTTTTGTCCATTGGAGCAAGCAATCAATCTCGCTATCGCATCGAAAAAGCAAAAGAATTTTACGTGGAATATAGAAACAAGCAGTTCAGATTGGGCCAATATAAGAAATGGTTGAACCATACCTGTTGAACCCAAGACAAACTTAAATCATATAAGTTCTGCTCCACCACGAATGGCATGATAGCATTCATAACCTCAACTGCCACCTCATTGGAGAGTTGATCAAACACAGGACCAGATTTATCCATGAGCTTCACAAGCAAAGAATCATCCCCTGTTGATACAACCTCAGCATATGCCGTATCCATATCACCCACTTGAACAGCATCCATTGCATTGCTCCAAGAAGTCCAAACAGGATCACGTTCGGGTTCATTATTGTCACAGCCCATTGCCTCCAGTTCTCGGACAGCTACTCTTGTTGGCCTTACTGTTGTGCTGTCTTCCCCAGCACCTCTTATTGCGGCTAGCGTAGCCTCATCCTTTGAAGCCTGCCAAACACTCCTTGCTGAGGGACCTTCACCAAGTCTGACATTTCCAGTCCCTTTGTCCCAAGCTCTACGAGCACTAAACTGCTCATTCTCATGCTCGGATCTTGGAGATCTGCCATCAACAGAATTGCTGCCAGCATCTCTTCTATTACCAGGTTGACCATTTTTAGAAGCACCATATGAATGAAAGTCCCAGGGCTCCTGATGTTCAGATCTCCAAGGTCCCGCCCTAACCCTCATGCTTGGAGACACTCCTTCAGAAGCAGTAAACCGATCACCAAATGGAAGCCTCCCTCCATAGTCAAGGTAGCCATTATACCTGCCAGGACGATTGGAAGATCCATCATAACCTGACCGAAAGTTACCAACCCGCCTGCTTGATGATATGGACAAATCATGAGCCATATCTTCAACCACCCTCTCCAGACCCCGTACTCTATTCTCCAGAGTCACCATGCTGTCGTGTGATCCACCCATGAACTCCTAACATATAAATAACCTTTAGTCATAAGTTTATAACAGATCCATAACCTAGAGTAAATATGCAGATAAAAATACGCACCTGCAACATATTCATCACATGAGCCTGTTGTCTTTCTAACTGCAGCAACTGCCTCTGAATAGCCAGCCAATTTCCCTTACCATTCATGAGAGATCCATCAGTTTGTCCATCGGCTTTAGAAAAACTAAGACCCCTATCTTCAAGGCCAGATGTTCCAGGTCTCAAATCATTCCCACTTACCACATCATCCACACATTTGACTCGCATATAACCATCATTTTCTCGTTGTCTAGACGGTATGTTGGCAGGCATTTTATCTGTGCTATCCTTGTTTTCTCCTGAGTTTATCTCTACCTCTCCACCATTAGCATTTGAGGGATTAAGACATTTACGTGGAACAACAACTTCTACTGGCAAATCATCTGAACCTCCTTTTTCAAGCTTTTGAAAGAATTCTGGATTCAAAATTTTATCAGAGAATGCAGGCAACTTTTTCTTCAGTATTCCAACAGCTTTATCTGAATAGTTCCCGTTCTTTGTTTTCCCAACAGAATCAGATGATGTGGCATTATTTGACAAATCACGGGGAGAAGACTCTTCATTTCGCTGGTCAGATTTCATATGTTTCTGCTTATCATTATCTGGCAAATCATTTCCCGCGACTAAAAAATTGTCATAGAACAGATAGAAGTAATCAGCACATAAAATAGCACAATGAAAAAATGTGATCACTTTAAGACTACAATGAAAGAAATGTGATCACTTAAAGACGACAAAAAACTGTACAATGAAAAATTTTTACCTTTCCTATCGTCCGAGGCCACATCTACAGCCTTTCCTGACAGCTTCTTCCAATGCTGTAGCGCTTCTGTCATGCTCTCTCTAACTGGCTTAATCTGGTCATATAAGATAAAATAGATGGCAGTGTGTTAAAAAAAAAAAAAAAAAAAAAAAAGATTTTAAAAAATACAAAAACTTATAAAAGAGCAAAAAAAAAAATATACATAAAGGTACAAGGATAGAGTCAAATTCAGAATGCAGTGAAATCTCATTAAAGAAAACTTACATAACACTGCTACAAACACTACAAAATGAATTCAACAGCAAAACAATTGCGGTGCAGAAACAATTGCAACATTGATCCAATTAGGAGAGAGAGGAACCTAGGCTTTAGCTTGTTCATAAGCTACTCGATCTTGTCTCAGTCAAAACTCAGCTCTACAGAATTTGACTCAAGCTCTCAGCCGGATACCGTAAAAAGCTGGCATAATGTCCATTAAGGAGCAAAGCTTGACATGGAAAGCTCATGACCAGGCTCAAATATATCAATTTAGTAAAAATTTCCGTTATTTTTGTTCTTTGCTCTTCCGATTTGAGATGTTCTATTTAATTCTTTCAAGTTCTGCAGTTTTTTTCCTTTTGTGGCAAAAAATTTCCCAACTTTCTCCCCAACCTTAACGAAGGGAATATGAGTTAATTGTATGCAATACTCCTTCCGTCCCTAATTACTTGCACCATGACCATTTGCACGGGATTTTATGCAAGTGAATAAGCAGATACAAGAGGGAAAAGAGAGAGAGAGTATGGGACCCAGCTCAAGAGAAAGTAGAGAAAAAATTCCAAAAACGAGAGATTGGGCAAGTAAATTGAAACACCGCATAAAGGAAAATTGGGCAAGTAAAATAGGACAAAGGAATGAATCCTCAAAGTATTAGTGAAGAGATAGATTCATGATTACCATAGCTTAAAAGAATAGTAGTAAATTGGATTTCATGATTTAGGCTCGAACTACTTGAGCTCGTAACTATGTTACCACCCCAAGCTTTTAATCCCTTAATGTTTAACATGATTCCACCAAAAAAAAAAAATGCAACAGTTGTATTACTCATATCCTCCCTAAACACTTGATTAAGTTGGATCTAATGGAAAATCCAATCATGAGATTATAAATTATATGTAATTTAAAACATGAAACAACTTATCCAGACATTCCAAACTAGCTTGACATGACAACTAGAGAAAAATTAAAAACTCACTTCAATAGCTGCAAAAACAAAAGAAACAAAATACTTTATAGCAGTAATTTTCAACTACTGCAATGTTTCATCCTAGCAGTCAAGAAGAAAGATAGGCAACCTCTCTGAAATAGACCGCCTACAACTTACCTTTTCAAACTACACAAGCAGCAAGGATGTAACAAACTAGCAGTTAAAGTCTTGTAATAAAATCGAATTATGCAATAAAGATTCAATCTTGGGGAAGATGGGCAGCTTTTTGATTAACTTGGAAATGGAAATGGCAAAACAAGAGTAGCTTGAGGCTACCAGTCTCTATTTAGCACCTTTAGGGCACCACTCTCTAGTTCTAGAAATTACTATGATTCTGCCTAACTAGCAATTCCTACCCTCCCTTTCTTATATATACACAAGCTGACAAAAGAAGGACAAAACAAGATGCAGCAGCAGTCATGATCTCAGGGGCTGCCTCACTGATTTGGTGGTGACTGCCTAGCTGTCACATTCCTTGACAGACCTCCCCTCATTGGCTCCTCATTACTTGGCTGACCCCTCCTCCTTCGCACATAAGTAATCAAGCCACGGTCCTTAGGAGTTAGTGCACTCGTCACAAAGGACCACTTGCAGGTGTTATAGGCTTATAGCTAAGATTTTAAACTAGCTAAAAAAAAGGACCAATAAATCAATCAATTAGTAAAAAAAAAAGGTGGAAGCAACCACTATGATCCAGCAGTTACATAGCATTCAAGTGTTCCAGGTTCCAGTATGAGAGATAAAAGAAGGGAGAAAGGTTCAGGGTCAGGTGGTATCGTAAATTTGTAAGCGAAAAGCCAGATAGTCTTTGTTCACCTCATATATACATAATTTACATGAGTTAAACAGATCCCAGTGGCAAACCAATCATAAGTTCTATTTAACAACTTCCAGTAGGCAATCGTTCAATGTCATCTATTTCATAATCAATATATAACCATTCCCTGCATCTCATGCATTCACATTGAAGGCTAAATAGGGCATTCCTGTCCAAAATTAATTCTTGTTTTGGCACAAATGATCCAAAACACATTACATAAAGAAGATGATAAGTTTTTGTATTGGTCAGCAAGAACCATTACTCGTAGTACCAATTATGGATTTAGGTATGAAGCAAGGATATAATTTAACTGACACGTTACCAATATAATCATCAAACATAGTTTATGCTGATTGATACATTCCACTACCAGCTCAAAGCAAGAGTGTCAATGATTATATCAGTTAGGTGAAACAAAACACAACAAAAACCTTGTGTCGGTATTCCATTATTGTGGACACCAAAATCCAGAGTAACACAAATTAACCACTAAAAGCCACATAAACAAGGATAGTAATGCAATTTTAGTAAATGTTCAATGAAGCTACCTTGTCAAAGCGACAAGCCTCTAAAGCAGTCAAGGTTGACGATGCTCCATTTTTAACCAAGTCAGTTGAATGCAGTGCCAGTGCTATCAATGCCTCAGCAGCAGCCTTGCGGGTAGCCCAATCTGTGCTAGCGAGGCAATCATGAATGCTTTTCAGTAAAGGGTCTAAGTTTGCGGGTGTTATAGCCCCTACCTGAAAAGGAGTTTGCAACCAAAGATATTACAAATTAACAGCTTGAACAATACAAAGATTAATTAAAATTTGCTATGCGAACTAGCAAAACAGGAAACACAGGCTTGGTTCATATTCTTAATATGATATCTTTGCAACTTGCTATACAAATACAAAAATTTCTCATTTGGTTGCACCCTTTTCTTGACTCTCAATACCCCCTCTTCATCCTATTTTTAGATGATCAACTCACATGCATCCCTCCTAGATATATAAAAATCACAGCATCATCAATCTTCAAAAACCATTTAGTCCTTCCGTAACCATTCCAACCACTAGAAGTATAGAACACAAACTAACATGAATTCTTCTCTTTCCTCATCTTTTGCTCTTTCCTATCTATAACTTTTTCAATCATATCAAACCCAACAAAACTCCTAAAATCATTGCACACTAACAATTCCCACAAGATTAGCCAAATATCAAAGCATTGATCATCAATCACACAAACACAAGCTCATAACATATCAAGTACATAATCAAAACACAATAAAAATCCGAAATTCGAAGGCGAAAACCGGACCTGAGACAAGCTAGAAACAACAGGCAAGAGAGCAGACTTCGCAAAGAAATTAGGACTATTCAAGTACTTGCAAACCCTAGGACAAAGCTTCTGAAACGACGAAAGCTGCGGATTGACAGCACAATCAACCACTCTCCCCAAACACATTGCAGCTCCAACTTGAACCCCTTTATTATTCTCCCCCATTGCCTCAAACAAAGGCCTCACAAACAAAGAAACAACCCCGTTTTCAGAATTCTCCCCTTTTATATAAATCCCAGATAAATTCCCAATTGCATCTTTACAAGCTTCTCTAACCCCAGAATCTGGGTCCCTCAACCTCTTAGCAATGTGAGCAATGATCTTCACTAAGTGGGTCCCAGTTGAATCAGGGTGGGACCCACAAACGGCGGCAAGAAGGCGAATTGATTCCTTCTTAACGGAGGGTTTTGATTGGTCGGAGGAAGAAGAATCGAAGAGACAGTTTAACAGCATTGGAACGGCGTCGTTTTGAAGGGTTTGAATGAGGGTTTCAAGCTCTTCAATGGCGATCTGGTGGGTATCTCTGTCTGATAACTTGGAGATTGAATTGAGGATTCTTTGCTTCAATTCCACCATTGCTAAGTGAGAAGAGAGAGAAGCTGAAGATGGTGGTACTGTAGATTGTGCTGGTGTTGTTGTTGTGGGTTTTGTGGATTTCGAGGATTTGGGTCCTTGAGACCCCATTTTCGTTTAACTTTTTCTGGGAATTTGAAGAATGTAGATGAATTTGAGCAGGAATCAGAGCTTTAATGGCGGAAATGAGATCTAGGTAGAATGATGAAATGGAGTGAGAGTGTTTGGGTTTTTTGAATTTGTTGAATTTCTTTGAATTTTTTTGAATTTTGAACAATTTTGGGGTCACTTTAGCAAGAAGGAAGTGTGAACTACTCTGATTTGAAGGGGAAATTGAAATGTTGGATGTGTGGGTCATTTATTAGTTTCGTGACTTCTAGCTTGAGTTTCTCGCCTGAATAGTGACTATCAACTATCAAGGGACAAAATTGGCATATTTTTGGGCAAAACGTTATCCCACTAAAATTCCATGTTAGCATTATTACCATAAATTTGATACTGGATTTATTGGACTGAACTGCATTGATTGGAGCTCAAATGAGCTGATTGCAGCTAAATTGAATATTTTATGAGAGAAAGAAATTAGTGATTGAACTGATTGAAACTGAACTAAACTAAACTAAAATTAAGCGGAAAAGAACATACCCTTATTTTAACAAAACTTGTTAATACTTGATAAGAATATCTTCATTATTTTTTCCTAAAAAAAAAGAATATCTTCATTATTTTCGATTGTAAACTAAGGGTATCACTGTACTGTAACAATAGTTCAACTTATAAATGAAAGATTAATTAGGAGATTGACGGGGTTAAATCTTGTGGTCGTCACTCAATAGAGAATGAAAAGCTCATCTTCAATGGAAAAGATATAAAAGCTCATCTCTATTGGAAGAATAATGGAAGAGTGAAATACCTACCCACTAGTGTTAATTATACCCTTAATTTCTCCATTTTCTTAGAGTTTCCGTTTAGTAGCCGCCAAAAAGGTAGTGTATGAGACTACCAACTTGTTGTTTGAGTATGGGGACGAGTCGGGATGATAGGCGTGACGGGAGTTAATGAGGCGAAGGAGAGAGAATGCTTGTGAAGGAGAGAGGTAGGTCTTCTCTTTTTGGCTTTGTTCCTTCATTATAAAAGGGTTAAGAGACTTCATCTCTTTTTAGCTTCGTTCCTCCATTGTCAAAGGGATAGAGGTGGTTCTTCATCTTTTTTTGCTTCGTTCCTCCATTGTCAAAGAGAGAAGGTGGGTTTCTCTTTGGAGCATTTACATACGTTATTTGACAGAGTGATAATGACAATATAAGTCTACATCATCACCAAAGGGAAGCTATATTACTCCCTCCGTTTTCTTTTATTTGCATCAGTTTGACCGGCACATTTACCGAAATGCAACTTTGACCATTAATATCTTTAATAATTAATTAGTAAAAAATTTAACAAAATTATATTATTGAACTAGACATTATGACGAATCTAATGGTATATTATATAGTAACATTTATTTATTTTATTGAGATGAAAAATCAAGTCAACTATGATATGTGAATAGTGCAAAAAACGAAGTGATGCATTTAAAAAAAACGGAGGGAGTAATATTCTAACAATATTTGCTCACTCTACATCAGATCTGTGAGGATATAACACAGAACTTTGTTAATATAGGATATAAATGGGGGTCGACTCTAGTTTCATCCATGAAAAATGTAAATTTAGACATTCATTTTCAAGTTATCATTTGATAAACAACTATAGAGTAATATTTATCAAGTTTTTTAGTTTTCTTTTGGCGAACACTAATGTTTATCAAGATTATTAACTTGTATTTTCCCAAGTTTAATAATTACCTTTTTAAAATTAAGTTCACCTTGGATTTTTGAATCCCCAACCAAACATTCGAAAGTTCTTGGTGTTCCTAGAAATGCCTGGAATTTTCAAATGCTTGCCCGGGGATCTGAAAATCCCAACTTGCTTGGATTCCCAAGATCTCCAATCGCTTCTCATGGTTGAACAAAAAAAAAAAAATCACCAACTTGCTGGCATCGATCCCCTTGCTTTTCTGAATCCTCAACATCCTGCTTCCTTGTAGCCTCGACAACAGTTGTAGTTTGGTTGAATTTTGTAGAGGCTTTGTTTGGTGGTGGTTGAATTATTTAGTGGTTGAATTGATATGGAAAAGTAAAGTGGCAGTTGAAATTCAAAAACTAGAGGTGAATAAGTCTGTTCATATAAAAATATGGGTGTTACTATACCAGGCAAAAAGCGAGTGTGGGTTAGTACCCTGAATAAACGAAATTTTCATTCAAAAAATGGTATTCTTTTTTACAAAAAAAAAAAAAAAAAAAAAAAAAAAAAAAAAAAAAACCACTCTTGTCTAAGACTAGCCCCAATTTCTCAACATGAGAAACGTTTTGTGTTTGTCTAATGGCAAAAAATAAAAGCATAAACATCATGTTGGTAAATAAACGAGGATCAATTGATTTCAGTAATGTGTTTGATATGTGCGGAACGTAGACAACAATATGTAAAGCGTAAATTTGAGAAAAAATAAAGTAGACTATAAATGAGTTGAACAAATGATGGATATATACGTGGTTTGGCCAAATTAGACCTACGTCCACAGGAAAGGGATGATATTTTCTTATTAGTTTTCACAAAGGATAAACAAAATATATAATAAAGAAGATACAAGACTATATCTCACAAAATATCTCAATGGAGTTGCATATTTGCTTGGGTTGGTTAGATTAATCAACATCAGGTAACCTTAATGAAACCCTAGATTATTCTCCAAGGAATATCATTAGTGGCCTTCATAAGCATACCTGAAAATCGGAAGCAAAAACATCTCCACTGGATTAGGCATAGAAGTGTTATATAGGGCACATCAATGTCACTTCTCCAGCCTCGACAATACTTCGTAAAACAGCTATAACCTTATCTTATCGGAATTGAGCATATGCCATATCGTTGAAAATCTCTTGAAACGAAACAAGTTATCACCTCCAACTAGAATCACCTGAGCCAAAGATTACTTTTTGGATTGAGAGATATGTGCTTTTGAAGGTGTCTCTTTGCCATTTTACTAGCTTCCAACTTGAATGGCCTCCAACTTGCTTCCTTGTTCTTCCTCCTTTTATTTTCTCAACAACAATGGCAGATTATTCACCTACACTCATACAACACCCGCACCACAACAAACCTTGGCCTAACCCCAATAAAACTATGGCGTCTTCGCCACCAAGTATTTAACGAGAATCCTAAGATTAAAATGCAAAGTATAGAAATTAAGGGGCGTGGTTAACCCTAAAGCTAGGTGTTTCTCATTTTCTTGTGAGCTTTCTTTCTGCCATTGAAGCTTCTAGCAAGCTTTTAGATTCTATAACATAGTTCTGCATAATTTTCATTATCTTCCACCATGGATTCTCCTCTAATTGAAGTGAATTGTTGCAAAATTTGAGTTTTCTAGATTTCTCAACCTCCATTGTTGAGGATAAATAAAGGTGGGTTCATGTTATTAGTTATGTCATTTGGAGCGGTTAATGTGAGCTGACAAATATATCCCTAATTTATTGAGGGAAAAACCCATAATACTTTCTTAAGATGATTGAAATGTTTCTCATTTTGAGAAACTTATATTTAGCCCTCATATACAAATATACAACTATTGATCAATGTAAATAGAGAAGCTACATACTTATCTAGTGATTTTCGTTTGAATCAACGTTCATGCTACATTCCTATTGTATTACAACATGTAACGTGACAACTAAAGTCGAACAAACAAACGCAAAATGACGAAAAGAAAAGCAAATGTGTAAGAATTATTTAGAGGATGAACCATCACCAATTCACCACTTTGGCGCGGAGGAAGGTAGGGCCAACAATGCATGTGTATCCCACGACATTGAGTGGAAATCACTATTTGTAAAATGACATTGACACAACTTTTTTCTTCTTCTAATAATGTCAGATCTTCTTCCCCACCTTCATAAAATCCCCATAAATTCTGCCTTTTGCTGGCCTTAACTTTGACCATTCCGACCACCTTAAATTAAACTCCTACTTAATTTAATTTTCAATTTTAATCTGTGCTTTTTAACATCATTTTTTTTAACATAATCAATTAATCACCCTTTCCTAAAGTTTAAGTACCATTATAATAATTAATTACATTAAACCCAAAAAGCTGCAATTTTTTGTAAAAAAAGTCTTGTGATTTTGGGTGTTTTATTTTATTTTATTATTGTATTTCGTGGGTACCCTTCTTCCATATAAGGACAAGTTCAAGATCTTCTGAGCAAAAAATTGAAGTTTCTGGGCAAATAAATCATTGGGTAAGTCCCTTATAATTTATTTTATCTTTCTAAGATTTGATTTTTCTGTAAGTTTAGCCTTATATTTGGTAATTAGATCTCATTTTCTGATGAATTTCTTGTTTCTGGGTTTGCTGTTTTAAGGGTTCTTAAAACTATATATAGTGCAAATTTTGGCTGATTTTATTGTAATGAATGTGTAATTTTTGGGGTTTTAATCAAGTATGTTGATGGGTATTTGTTTGATATTAGCATTATTATCTAAAAAAGTGTAATTGTCATCATTACTTTTGATTAATTGACAAGAAAAAGGAAAAACCATATCTTTCTGTTTTTCCTTGTTTTCTTGTTACTAATCATTACCATCATAATTGTTAATCACATGATTTACCTTAATGTTAGGAGCTGATTGGTTGAAATAGAGGTTATTTGAAGTTGGGTTTTTTCTCTTTCTTTTGACCTGTCAAGAAATTGTCAAACTTGCTTTGAATTCAGTAGTATGCTGCTGTAATTTGGGAGTATTATAAGCTGTATCAGCTTGTTATATGATGTGTCTAGGTGTTGATTCTCACTATTCATTGTTGAATTGATAATGTTTTGTTATGAAATTGGTGATTCGGGTTGATAATTGGACTATAGTGTATCTTGAGAATGTTGAGATGCATTTAATCTTAGGATTACTTCATCCATGTTGCTCCAAAGAAAGTGGAGTGGAGTTCCACGAGTCGCGACACGTTGATGATTTAGGAGCATTGCTCCGTTGTGTAGTGAATTTTTTTTTGTTTCACTGCTTCATATAAATGCATACTGTCTAGTGTCTACCATCTGCAAGGATACAGTATTGATATGTATTTGAAACTTTGGGAGGTTTAACATCTACATTATAATACTAAGATACAGGACTTATTATGCTACATATGTACAAAGTACAAGCACATTTGACATTTAATATGGATTTACAGGCTGTTGCAGATGTTGATTGCCTAGTTTGATTTCATTCCAAAACTAGATTAAAAGGCGAGGATTCGTAGCACTTCTTGTAGCTCTGCAGGTTGTAATCATGGCTCCTACACTGGAAGCAATCAGAGGTGGTGGAGGTTCTGTCAAGGTAGGCACCATTGGAACGATTGGTTCTTTGATGACGAGGGAAATTGAATCTTCATCCCCGCGTACCTCAGTTCCTGTTGTTCGCGGTAATGGCCCTCTGAAGCCACGTAAGTTGATGAGTGAAGCAAGCAGTAGCAGTAGCAGCAGCAGCACTCCCACCAGTATTAAGCATAAAAACCCTGAAGCTTTTAGGAAAACAAAAGTTCAAGATCTTAGCACAACAACTACTCGTAGACGACCAAAACAAAAGACACCATTCGAAGATGTGGGAAATAATAGCACTGTTAGCCAGGGAACCAGTAAAAGAAGCCTAGATCTATCAGGCAAAACACGGAGCCACAAACGTAGCTATCATATCCCTATGCTTGGCTCAGAAAACATCCATCTGGAAAAAACTCCTATACGGGACAAACCCACAAAGAAAGGATCTACTATTGTTGATATAGTGGACATACACTGTGGGAACCCAGGGGGTTCTATAAGCAATAGACTGAAGAAGCTTAATTTTTCGAAACTCTCTCAGAGCTTCATGTAGTAGAAACTTATGGACTCTCCATCACTTAGTCCTCAGGTTTTTATAGTTAAACCCAACAGCTGAGTTTAACCTTTTGCTATTAGAAACATCAACCATCGAACACATGTTTGATAAGAAGAACTTGCTTCCTCCTCCTTGTTTCTTCTTCTTTTGAGAAATAACCACTAATTTGGAGTTGGAATCTCGAGCAATATCTCTGCTGCAGCTTACCTGATCTGATTGACAGTAGTATTTTATCTCCTGCATTATGAGGGAGCCAACAGTTCCTTTGGTTCCGATTTCTACAGGAACTTCTGTGGCCATTTCTGTTGTATATTTAGTGTTTGTGATGATATTTTGGGGGTGTGAAGTTAAGACTTCTTAGGCAGGCTGGTTGTTTATGGACTAGGGGTTCTGTTATCCGGTCTTATACTCGACGATTTGATGCATGAACATCTTGCCTCATGGTTGTTCTTTATCTAGAGGTTATTGTCATGGGACTCTTTAATAGCTGGAGCCTTTGAACTAACATGGGTGTTGTGGTCATCATAATCTTGTGCTTGCAGGTATATGTTAATATCAATTCATTATATCAATTTGCATTAACTTCCCTTGGTGTTTTTATAACTTGGGACCCTATTTATATTTGTTATGTAGTACAATGAGTTGGGTGCTCTCTGTGACTACCATCATAACAGTTGCTTTGTTGGTTTTGTTTGCGTTACCGTCTTATACAATAAGGTACGAAAACGTAAGAAAATGATTTTGGCACTATCAATATGACACTTTACTCACAAAGACGAGTTTCAAAGTTAGTTTGACAATTTTATACATCGGTGTCAAAATCTTATAATTTATACAACGTATAATCGATAAGTTTAGAAGACTATTGCTCCGTAATTAATAATGGAAAAGTACTATTCTTGATTGCATTAACCTTATTTTTGGACAAATGCAATAATGTAAAGCTCATGTAGTATGTTGGTCCATAGTTCATATTAGCCCGGGAATATGTGAAACGCTAAACATCGCCCGCAATTTACCATATAAAGCCCACAAATATGTTATGATTTGACCATTATGCCCTTTTGCTAAAATTGAAATAATCTCGGTGTAAAAAATGTGGAGCCGTACTGGCTCGCCGTGGGAGACCGGATGGCAGGCCGGAGATGCGGGGGACGCCGAAGGTACGTCGTCGTCGACGGAAAACGAGGTAAGTCACCGTTAGAATTCACGGTTTACCGTCGGAGTGGCTCCGGCGCCTAGGGTGGACGCCCAAACCGTAGCCTGGACGTCCAAGCCGGACGCCAGAACCACCAGAGTGGCGTCCAGGCTAGACGCCCAGACCACCAGAGTGGGCTAGCCCAGACCACCAGACTGGCGTCCTGGGCAGACGCCACTCCACTGGGTGAGGCGGCCCTGCCAGGCGCCAGTCCAGTGGCTGTGGCAGCCCTGGCAGACGCCACCTTTAATAATTAATTTTTATTTTTTCCTTTTTGATTTTGTTGTTTTTTATTTAATTTTTTTGTAAAAAAAAAATCGAAAATGATTTTTTAAAAAAATTCGAAATGGGTTTTTTGTAAATTAAATTTGAAAATTCGAAATAGGTTTTTTTAAAATTAAATTTGAAAATTCGAAATGGTATATTTTTAAATTTAGTTTGAAAATTCGAATTGGGTTTTTATAAAAATTAAGTTTGATTATATATAATTATGTTTTTTTTTGTGTTAATTATGTGGAAATATAGAAATTAAATGTATTATCCGTTAAATGTATTTATTGTAATATATAATTGATGCAGGAATATGGTGGAGACGGAAATGATTACAGTGGGATATTTGGACATGATGGTCCATTCGAAGAAGCTCAACAGGCGATTGATTGGGCAAAATAGGTTGCAATTGCAGCTGGATTTTGCTTGGTAGTAGCAACTCATAAATCTCAACGGGATGGTAGAATGGATCGCATTTTGAGATGTGACCGTTATCGCAAAAGAGAAGAAAGAGATTTTCGTACAGCCACTCGGTTTGACACAAAGCGGAAAGGTTGTGGGTGTGAGTTCAGAGTAAAGGTTCGACAACTACGGAGTCGTGACGGTTGGGAAGTGATAGGTTACTCTAAATGGGGGTATCACAACCATGAGATGATAGTATATGAAGAGGGTCATCGACAACTGAGCGGCTTAAGTCCTGCTGCGAAACTAGTTGTGAAAGAAATGAGTGATGCTCAAGTGAAGCCTGCTAAAATATTAGCATCTGTGTTAGAGAAATTTCCAGAAGACCATCCAAACCGAAGACACATCTACAACGTCAGACAGCAACTCAGGTTTGAACGGTCAGAGGGAAGGAACCCTATACAGCAGCTGCTACACCAGGCACAATCACGTGGTTACCTGTTCTGGTTTGATTCTGATGAAGATACAGCGGAGGTGACTCATCTTTTCCTTGTGCATCCTGATTGTGCTGATATGATCAAGTCTTGGCCATTTGTGATTTTGATTGACTCAACGTACAAGACAAACAAGTACAAGTTCCCTCTGGTTGAGATGGTTGGGATGGCTCCAACGAACCAGAACTTTCTGATTGGTCATGCAATCATCAGGGATGAGACGACTCCAAGTTATTATTGGGTTTTGGAGAAGCTGAGAAACTACATCGGGCCTAATGTTCATCCAGCAGCCATCGTCAGCGACTGTGAGGGAGGTCTCTTTGCCCCCATAGCAGAGCTGTTTCCCGAATCGAACCACTTATTGTGCACATGGCACATCAACAACTGCGTGAAAGTGAAAGCCTACAACCTTTTCAAGAAGAATTTGGAAATGGCAGAGAGATTGGTGAATGGTAAGTGGCGGAAGATCCTACAGGCTACCACAGAGGAAGCGTATGAGCGAGCATTGGCTAACTTCAGGGATTCGTACCAGTGGTGTCCGGCACTGGTGGACTATGTGATGCATCAATGGGTCCCTCACAGGGAAAAGTTTGTCAAATATTGGACAAACCAGGTACTTCATTTTGGGAACACTACAACATGTAGAGTTGAGAGCGCTCAGAGAGCTACCAAGGACTGGATTGATTCATCGACCGCTGCTTTGGATACACTGTTCGCTAGACTGAACAAGTCAATTGAAACTCAGAAGAACGACATCAGGAACTCTCTAGAGGACTCCAGACGACGACATGGTACGATGTATAGCCATTTTATATTTAAGATTCTCCATGGTCGTGTGTCGCACTACTGCTTGGGGTTGATTCTCACTGAGCTGAACAGGGTGAGGGACTTGGCTGACGAAGTGTATACTCGGTGTGGGTGTACTATTTCAGTAACTCATGGATTACCTTGCGCATGCACCATTCATCGCGTTATTACAGAAGAAAGGGCGTCGTTACATGTTGATCAGGTCCATTCATTCTGGAGGACGCTTGTTATTGGTGAGCATGCAGACAATCAAACGGCCGACCGTGAACAGGAAGAGTTGGAGCAGTTCCGTTCGATGTACGACCGAGTGTCCTTGCCATCCTTCTATTATTCGTGACGCTACTCATGTGCTTCATGACATGTTCCACCCGTCTAACTTAGATTATGAGGAACCCGAAGGAGTTGACCGTCCTCGAGGTCGACAACGGCGGAACAGGAGTGCGTTTGAGTATATCCGTGGTCTTGGTCGTGGTCGTTCTCGTGGTCGGACATCGTCATCTAGTCGTAGTCAATCTTCATCGTCTGTGAATATGCCCCTGAGAACTGGTACGTTTTGGTTGTTTTTATTGCACATAGTTTTAAAGTGTTACTCCTGCCTTCTTAACTGTCTATAATTAATTATTTGGTGAATAGGAAGAAACGATGTTGATCAGTTTCCGTACAAGGAAAGGATACCTGCGATCATCATGTCGTACTTGGAAGGGTGGAATGATGTAATCGGAGATGGTAACTGCGGATTCCGGGTCGTGGCTGATGTTTTTCAAATGGGCGAAGACAACTACGGTTTGGTGCGTGAGTTGATGTACAGCGAAATTGCCTCTAACCGAAATGTTTATCGTCATGTGTACCAGGATGACTTGGATGGCGCTCTGCGGCGTATCCGGTGGGGAGGTGGACCTTGCGGCGAAAATCATTATTTTGACGCGCCCCTAGATCTGTTTGCCGTTGAAAACATTTACAAATGCGCAGTCATGCATTTCGGCCTGGGAGTGCATAGTCAAGCTTATTATCCTTGTACCACGGTTCTCCCTTGGCGATCGCGTGAGACTGTCACCACAACGGTCAGAGAGCTAGCTATTGCGTTTCTTGGGTCGTCATACAGACATTTCATCCGACTAGACATGTCAACCGATTTTTCGGTGCCACCGATTATACCTCGGTGGTACAACATTCGCACAGCAAGCGTAGAGGGTTGGGATGCGCTATATAATGACCGGATCCACGAATGGAACACCCTAGCTGCATTTTAGTTTTTCATGTTTACATTCTTTATTTGTAATCTTATTTGTACGTTGCTCTTTTAATGAGAACATTAATATTTTATATTGTATTGCTTACTGCATTCTATATGTTGCATGGGTAAGTTGCGCGGATCCACGAACGGTTATATCAAAATTTAAAAACAGCACTGATAATATGTTTAAGTTGGAAGCTAAAAGAACAATCTAAAATGTTACAATTTTACAACATAATGTCCAACATAATGCTCTATAAATAAAATACAATAACCATCAGTAATCCCTCCTCGACGACGACTCCCACTGCGCAAGGGTCTGTTCCAGACTATCAACAACAACTCTCCCTGTTGCACTCATGCTATCCTTCTCAAGAGAGAGTTTCTGTACGTCTTGCATTATCTTTCCCATCCACTGCATACAACAAAAAACAGAAGATGAAATACAATAACAACAAATAAAACTTAATTAAAAGACAACGATAAATATAATAAAAGACATACCGCTTCCGTGGCAGTAGGCGGTGGCACATAATCATCATCGCTGTGGTCGAGATCAGCGATCAACCTCGGGTGCGAATACCGGTTGAACCATTCCATGTAGTAATGGTCACACATGGGAGTAACCCCAGAGGGCGGCCGCTGCAACTCCGCTGTCCATAAGCGGGCCACCATCGGAAACTGGTCCCACGTCCCGGTCATGATATCCGGCCATTCCACGACGTACTCCCTCGACGATGCAGGTCGGACCGCCTTCATCGGGCACGCCGGGGGAGGAGGGACAACTTGGACAAATCCAAGCTGGCGAAGACAACGCTGGGGCATGTACGCCTCGACGATGTCACGATACTGAATGAGTCCCGTGTACAGGGTCCTGGGTACCCTAACACTAGGGTTCGGGCCGAAAGGCATCCAGTTCACCTGTACAATAACAACATATAAAATTTAATAACATGAATATAATATGTGCAAATAATAAAATGTAGACTCTATAAATAAACGTTACCTCTAAGGGGGACAGCCTGTCCAGCAATAACCGTATCGATCGGAGGCGGTCAACGGACTTCTTCTCCGAGCGCGGACTCCAAGCACAAGCACGCGGCATCCCCTCATCAATAGGAACTGGGTCACGATGTGGTCGCAATGCAGGAAAGTACTCGTATATCCAGGTCTGCAATAGAGTCAGACACCCAGTGATACCTGCCGCGTCAGCCCGACTCGCAAATCCTAGTTGGCGATACAAATACGCCAACGTAGCCGATCCCCAGGAAAACTGGCCTACACTGTCGGGGTCACACGCCTCTACGATGTCGCGTGGCCTGAGCTTGTTTCCGCCGCTCTTATCCGGAAACAAGGTACATCCGAGGAGTAGAAAAACATAAGCACTCAGCTGTGCGTCGGGCGTCCTACGTGCACTCGGGTACAAACACCGCTGCAACACGGATGCGATCTTCACACCTCCGTGTTCCCAAACACCTAGCGCCTCGGTGTACAGTGCAGCCCTGTCCACCGCCAACAACTCCGCCAGCGAATCTGCTTGATCCGCATCAGCCACAGCACAAAGTCGTTTACCCTCAACACGAATCCCCAGAATGGCCTCGACGTCATGTAACATGATCGTCATCTCACCGAACGGAAGGTGAAAAGAGTTTGTATCCGGCTGCCATCGCTCAATGAAAGCCGTGATCAGCGTACTGTCAATCTTATCGTGCATGGTGGCAGGAACATGCTTCACCCCAGTGCCCTCCAGTCGCTCGAACATCTCGCTCTCCGCCGGCCAGGCCTCAGCCCATGTACGCAAAAAGCTACAAGTCTTTTCCCGGGTATGACATTTCAACAACCCCGTAACTGAAGGCCTCTCCTGGTCCTCCCAAATACGGGCAGCTATGTGTTCTAGAAAGCTAGGAAACACACTCCCGTCAACAGGCCCACCGGGCACCTCACTCCTAACAACCCAAGAATCATTACCGGCCCTCGACCGTTTCCTGCTTGCCCCAGATACAGTGGACGCAGATGATGTGCCAGATCTACTAACAAACCTACCACCCCTACCCTTACGCACCTCCACCATATGCGTCTCGTACATGTCATCAACCCTCTGACTGAATGGACCGTAATCATCATACGGTCCACTGCCACCGTCCACATCCTCATCCTCATCTGCGCCCTCCTCCTGATCCTCCTCCTGGTCACCCTCCTCAGCATCATCATCGTCATCGTCATCCTCATCCCGACGGTGGATCCGTTCTCTACGAACTGAGGCCGAAATACCACGGGATCTGACATGTCTATGCCCCGACCTCTCCACTGAATAACTTCTACTAAGAAGCTCTATATTCTTCCCCCCACCATGACGACCCTACACAAAATTTTAAAATATATAAACATACAAAAATTTATACGATAAATAATCATCATCGCAAATCAAATAAACTAAAAACATACAAATAATTGTAAACAAAATATAAACGTAGAAAAAATACAAAGAAATTGAAAAAAATTATAAAAATAAACAACAAAATATAAAAACAATTCAAAATTATATTACAAAAAAAAAAAAAAAAAAAAAAAATTAAAAACAATTTTTTAAAAAAATTTAAAAAAAAAAAAAAAAAAATTGGGGGGGGGGGCGCCCTGGCTGGACGCCCAGCCGGCGGTGGTGGCGCCAGATGCAGACGCCGCCACCAGTTGGCTGGCGCCTGGGCTGGACGCCACAGCCACGGCTGCGGCGCCTAGAATAAACGCCACAACCGTGGCTGTGGCGTCCAGCCCAGGCGCCAGCCAACTGGTGGCGGCGTCTGCATCTGGCGCCACCACCGCTGGCTGGGCGTCCAGCCAGGGCGCCCCACCGCGTTCACGGCGGTTTTCCCCTTTTTTTTTTTTTTTAACAAAATATACCTTTCCTCCTTGGGACATCCTTCCCTCCGCCGCCGCCGCCACTTCCTTGCCTTGCCGCCTCGACATTGCCGTTATTTTGAAATTTTTTTTTTAGAGAGGTTGAAAGAAGATGAGCAATGAGAGTGTGAGTGATGAGAGTGTGAGTGATGAGAGTGTGAGTGTTTTTTTTTTAAGGTCAAGGGCAATTTTGGGAAACCAAGTGAATTTTGTGGGCTTTATGTAGTAATTTGTGGGCAATGTTTAACAAATCCCGGGAATATAGAGATTCTGAGTCACATGGTTATTAATACAGCATTTATTTCTGATAATGGAATTCATAAGCACATCCTCTAATTTTGTTCACACTAATTACAGATTTCTGATTTTTGTATATTTTGATAATAAGGTAATACTAATCCTCAACTCCTATATCCCCTCAAAAAAAATCCTCAACTCCTATATAAAAAAATTAACACACATGGCGCATCTTTAAGGCTTTAGTATTTTGGCCAAGATATAGGACAAGTTAGCTTGACATTTCATTAGTATTACTATTTTGTTTAGAAAAATTATTAGTTTCATAATAAACCTAAAATCCGATATTAACATAAAATTTGACCAAAAATTATTAGTTTCATAATAAACCTAAAATCCGATATCACATAAAATTTGACCCGAATTCAATTTCTACAATCTACGATATATTAAATGTCTATTGCCAAAATGAATTGAAGTCTCATATAATAAAATCTTGGCTTTCTAGTCGAGACACTAAAGAAAAAACATCTATAATACATATGGGCACAAATTTTAAAGGGTATATAGGAAAGTTTAGTACGGAATATGTTAAAAGTTATAAGAGCATAGCCATCCGTTGCCCTTTTGTAATGAGCATAAAGAGAGAGAAATTGAAATAATATTATAAAATACAAAAAATAGTATTTTCGGAGAGAGAAATGCCATGACCAGGCCATGACCTGTAGCAAATGGTGGGCAAAAGATGAGGGTATGCCACTTGTCTTATAATAATTGGCCTATAGTGTTATTTTTAATATTCTTTTTAATGTTTTATATGTATAAAATATTTATGACTAGGGCAACCAATGAGAGTATATTGACATAGCTGGGTATAGGAATTGGGCATGAATGAAGTGGAAGAGAGAGATATGTATTAAATATTTGATAACCACCATTAGCTTGGACAACCAATGACTTTGCTCTAAAAATGGGGGTATCTAAGTAATTGTACATGAAACAAATATAAAAATAGACACGTGTTTGGGACTAGCGTTTAGGTAGTTTTTGATATTACTCCATAACTTTTAGTTTTTTGACTTGGGCAAAACACTACCTAATTAATTTTGGGATACCTTAATTAGGAAAACAGACAATTACTATTGGGACGAAGGGAATACTTTAAAACCATTCAAAAGTTATTGTCGAACACACCTTAGAGGTGGGGATCTACATATCGTGTACTCCCTCCATGTTTTAATAAATGTTACACTTTCTTTAGACAAAAAAAACTACATTTAAAAACGGAGTATTATACTTCATCCGTTACGAATTACTCGCAACGAAGGGGTATTATTTGTGAGACATAAAATATTCTTTTGTTGCGAGTAATATGTAACGGAGGGAGTATCTTTCTCCTCTCATAGTCCCCATCTAAACCCACTATATTTTTTTTTCTCTCATATTCTTTACTTTTAAATAAACTAATAACCCCCACTATCTTTCTTTTACAATTATATAATTTTGTAATACTTTAACTACCCCCACGTATCTCTTATTTTATTTAAGTCAATTAAATTACATAAAACTATGTACTAGCCAATTTATATTACTCCCTCCGTTTTTAAATACTTGCTCCAATTCTCTATGCGCGTAGTTTTAGGAGAAATTGGAGAAAGTAATAAAATATGAAGGGAGTGGGGTTGGTGGAATAATAAAAAATTGTAAAAGGCAAAAGTAGTGCAGAGAGTTGGAAGAAAGAGAATATATGTGGGGTCCACTAAGTGAGAGAAATTAATCAAATAAAAACTTTATAAATAAGAAAACGGAGCAAGTATTTAAAAACGGCCGAAAAAGAAAAGTGGAGCAAGTATTTAAAAATGGAGTACTTACTACGTATTAAAATAAGGAGGAAGTACTCAAAAATTAGATTTAAAAAGTGAATTGCTATTTGCCACAATAAAATTACTCAAGTTATAGTATTAAATGACTTTCATGCCCCTTATAATTTTAAAAATTACATAACAATCCAACCATTACTAACTTTGCCTTTGCTCCATCTTCACCATTAGCTCCACCACCCATACTATCACTCACCTTGACTGGTCCACCACCACGACTCCACCTTGACCATCATACACCACGACTTTACCTTGACCACCCACGAGACATAAAATGAGTCGACGACGGTCGGCGTTCATATCGGAGGCACTTGGCGGGGACGATGAACCGTCGACGCCGTCGAGTCAGGTTTATGTCGGGTTTTTTTTTTTTCAATTTCCGATGTACCCGGTCGCATGCTATATACGACTATACCACGGTATAGTCGCATGCTATATGCGACTACACCGTGGTATAGTCGCATATAGCATGCGACTACACCATGGCGTAGTTGCATATAGCATGCTACTATACCATGGTGTAGTCGCATGCTATATGCGACTATACCACAGCATAGTCGCATGCTATATGCGACTACACCGTGGTATAGTCGCATATAGCATGCGACCGGGATCCTTTATATTTTTTTTAAGCAATCTGTATAATTTATATTTATTAATTTTTGATAATTATTAAAAATAACAAAATACACTTAATTTAATTAGTAAATTTATGGCTTAATAAAAAAAGTTAGTAGTTTAAATTTGCAAAAAAAAAAAATTATTTTTGTTTTCAATTGAATTTAATTTAATTTGTAGTTAAATTTAATTTTAATTAACTTAGTATTTTTCTTTCTTATAGGATCCAATTGAAGATTTTGACGGTGATGGGGTAAATTATTACCCACATTTTCAGACCGATCAATTATTTCCAACGTATCGAGAGTTGTCACAATGGGCGAAAGACATTGCACTAACACTCAAATTTCAACTTGTGATTTCTTACAACCATAACGGATGGTTGTATTTGAAATGCAATCGTGGTGCAAGAGATAGGGGAAAAAATAGAGATCTTAGTGTTGCTCAACGACCAAAGACAAAAACTCAACATTGCGGTTGCAAGTTTTTGATCAAGGGTTATAAAGTTTCTGATGATGAAGGATGGCAGATTGTCTTGGGTCCCGATGCATATGGAAAACACAACCATGAGCTAATTGTCTATGAAGAAGACAATCGACAAATGAGCAAGCTTAGTCCGGGTGCGAAGCAACTTGTTCGTGACTTGACCGATGCAAAAGTGAAGCCACTAAATATCTTAGCGGCTGTACGGAATCAGTTTCCTGATGATCATCCCAATCGTAGACATATTTACAACTTTAGGGATCGGTTGAGACTTGAAGATGCTGATGGTCGAGCTGCTGTTACATATTTCCTTGAACTTAGTATCGAGTCGCAGTATACACATTGGAGCTTGGTTGACCCGGATACGAATGTTTTGACTCATGTATTTATGGCACATCCTACGTCTCTAGCGCTCTTACGCACGTATCCGTGGGTCATTGGCATTGATTCAACTTACAAGATAAACAAATACAAAATGCCTTTTTTGGAGCTCGTTGGTGTTACTCCTTGCAACATGAATTTCTTGACCGGGTATACTTTTATGAAGGATGAGAGCGCTGTGAGCTATGCATGGGTGATAGATAAGTTAAAGTTGCTGGTTGGTAGTGATGTATCGCCTACGACTATTATAACCGATTGTGAGTTGGGTTTGATGTCGCCTATTCGGGAAATATTTCCTGACATTGCTCATTTACTATGCACATGGCATATTAACAAAGATGTAGAGCATAGAGTTAAGAAAATAACGAATAATAAAGATCAAGGAAAAATTTTCAGGTTGACAAGGTGGAATCCAATTCTCAATGCCACCACATTGGATGATTATAATAGAGCGGTCCGGAAAATGGAGGAATCTTATGTAGCATTTCCTGCTGTGATTTCTTATGTGAAGGACACTTGGTTAAACAATCATAAGGAGAAATTTGTGAAATTTTGGACCAATGGTGTGCTTCACTTCGGCAATGTCACCAATTGTAGAGTGGAAAGTGCACATTCATCTTTGAAGGGGTGGTTGGAAACTTCAACTGGTTCTCTCGATTCTGTATGGGCCAAGGTAAACAAGGCAATTGAAGATCAGGTCACACAGATTAAGCAATCACTTGAGCGCAGTCGACGCAGTCATGGGCGGATATATGATGTTATGCCATTACAACATCTTAATGGACGTACCTCCCACCATTGTATGTTGTTGTTGGTGAATGAGAAGAAAAGAATGAGAGAGTTAAGTCATGAGGTGAATGTTCGGTGTGGATGTGTTTGTAAGACAACTCATCAGATTCCCTGTGCATGTGATATACGTCGTGCCATTGATTCGGGGACATACTTCTACTTAGACCAAGTGCACCCCTTTTATAGGACACTAGTGATTGGTGAGGATGGTTGTGTTCCGACTCCATTGGATGACCCCGATCATCAGTCACAGGACAGTCGATTTTTTGAGAGTCTTGTGCGTGAGGTGAGTAGAAGTGACCCGGCAATCATGCGTTCTGTATCTCGCCTAATAGATGAACATCTCCATTCCGATCAATTTGATGTTAATGAGCCGCCTAGGAACACAACTACTAGAGGGAGACCACAATCAAATAATACACGACGTAATCGTAGTGCATGGGAGTATACACGTGGTACTCGTGGGCGTCGTGGTCGTAATGGGGGACGCGGTGATGGTGGTCGTAGTGGAGGTCGAGGTAAGGGTACTCTATGTTTTTGTAATTTTTTGTTTATTTTGCTATACTTTGATGTTTATGTTAACTACAAAATTAATAATTCGTTATTCATCAGGAGGAAGAGACATTTCAGATTTTCCTTACCTTTATGGGCTTCCCGATATCATCAAACCATTTGTGGAGGATTGGAACAATGTAATGGGTGACGGGAATTGTGGATTTCGATGTGTTGCAGACTTTTTCTTAGGTAAGCCTTTGCATAAAGTATCTGTCACATTATATTCCAATGATTTTACTTTAAATTTTGTTGTTTAATTTATTAGGTGGGCAAGACAATTGGATACAAGCTCGGTATTTAATTGTGAACGAGGTTAAGGCATAGTAGCACATAAAAGTAGCACATAAAAGTATCTAAAAGTTATAGTGACATAGTCAAGTCCATAAATTACATAACAAATCTAAAACATAAAATAGAAGCAAGTCGTTCGGTACAAATTATAAAGTGCATCAATAAAACATAATCATCCAGCATACTCATCCCATTCTTTCAGCACATCAGCAACACGTGGCTAGCAGTCGATGCAACCCTACAATAGCCTGAGCAATCCGTCCCATCCACTGCAAATGAGATATTAATAAGTACCGCATCCACTTCTGGAACAACAAAGATACGTGACACGTAATTGAACCAATCATAATAACCATCCACAACATCAGAGGAACACTGAGCGCGTTGGAACTCTGCAAGAATCAACCGAAAACCTCTAGGATACAAGGTCCAAGCATTCTCAACACTCGAGACATTCCACTTAACTTCATACAATTTCGAATCTGCAGGCCTGTAAGCGAAATCTAGACGGTTAATAGGCATAGGAATTGTCTGTACATAACCAAACTGCCGTAAGACACGATCGGGCATGTATGGCTCAATGACATCTCGATAACGAAGCCATCCAATAAATACAGTCCTAGGAACATCTGAGGCTGGCTCTGGACCATAGGGTAGCCAAACCACCTGCAAGGAATGAGGTAAAAACATTAATAAAGTCGCATTAATTAACCTTTGTTTAATGAAAATATGTAGAAAGTGTTATAATTTACCATGTTCGAATCAAACTCATCTAACCGCTGACGAAAAGATCTCAACCGAGCATCAGAAAAGCCCTCCTTCTTAACACTCCAAGTAGAGGCACGAGCCCCATGAGATGCACAAACTAACCGTTCCCTATGAGGCCGAAACGGTGGGAAATGCTTATATATCCAAGCCTGTAGTAATGTCAAACAACCAGCAATGCCTGAGCACATACTCCTGCTCGCAATCCCTAACTGGCGATATAAGTTCGCCAAAGTGGCGACTCCCCATGCATAATCTGAAATATCATCCACACCATGAATGAGCACGAGGAAGTCAGCTGGTCGTACCCTACTAGCACTCTTGTCTACAAATAATGTAGAACCAAAAAATAGTAACATGTAACCCACAAGTTGCATTTCAGGACTACGCTTTGAGCAAATGTTGATAATGGAATCAATGGAAATCGCACCACTACAATAGTGCGGTGTAAGAGGTGCCAAAAGTGTATCTCTATCCACTCCAAGCAACTGCATAGCATGTATGCGCAACTCCTCACTAGTAGCCTGAGAAGAAACTATACGCCCATCCACTGGGATGCGCAAAATGTGCCAGACATCATGTAGAGTAATAGTCATCTCTCCAAAAGGGAAGTGAAATGTGTTAGTGTCAGGTTGCCACCGCTCCACAAATGCACAAATAAGAGGTATATCAAGGTGTCCAAACATACACCGAGGCAAGTGTGACAAGCCTATACCCTCAACTACTGCAACCTGCTCGGATGAAAGCGCGGCAAACCATGACTGAAGCTGGTAACATGCTCTTTCCCTATTCTGACACCTTAGCAAGTTTCTCTCCTTTCCATCCCATATCATACGAGCAACATGGCCTCCGAAACTAGGAATAACACTACCATCAAGGGGCCCACCGGGCATGTCCTCCTTCACTATCCAAGAATCATCATCAACTTGTCTTTGACGTTTATTAGTACGCCGTCTACTAGTGGTGCTACCGGTGTCAGAAGCGACAAACCTACCATCTCTAGCCCTTCTACCAACCACTACACCTGACGTATCATCATGCTCACCACTCTGATCAAAATTACCCTCAAACTCCTCCATCTCCTCAGACTCACTAGCTCGTCTGTGATCAGGCTCGTCGTTAAAAGGAACAAATACATCATCAGAAGCACCATCAAAAACAGACTTTCCCAATCGTGCAGCATCCCTTTCTCTCCTAACAGAGGCATCGATCTTTCGGGCTCGAGTGTGTCGCGGCCCTGAGCTAGTCAACACATCATTCACTGCAATTGATTTTCCACCTTGTCGCTATTTAATATAATAATAAAATTTCAAATTATTATATTCATAATTCTAACAATATTTATTATTATTTCAAGCATTATTACTAATAATTTTACTATTAAACAATATACTGTTCAAATCATTTTTTTTAAATAATATATTTCAGTTTTCAGTTGATTAAACAATATACTATTCAAAAATTTATATTTTCAGTTGGTTTTCAGTTGATTAAACAATAACAATCATTTTTTTTAAACAATATACTTTTCAAAAATTTTATGACTAATTTGAAATTAACTTTAAATAAAAAAGATATATTTTTAGTTGGTTTTATCTTAAAAAAAAAATTTAGTTAGTTGTTATAAAAAAATTTAAACAATGATTACATTTGGTTTTTTAGTTATAAAATTTTTTTAAAAAAAAAAAACAAAAAAATAAAAATCCCCACAACTCATGTTAGTTAGTTGTTACCTCCAAAAAAACAAGTTATTTGGATTTTATTTAAAAATTATCCATGTTTACTTTGTTGACAATTGTAAAAAAAGAAAATAAATAAAAATTGTTGACAATTATCTACGTAGTCTTTGACTCTTTCAAGTATAACTTTTTTTTTTAAGGAAAAAACTGCTTTTTTTTTTATTAAATTAAAACTGCTGTTTTAAATTAAAAAAATAATAATAATAACTACTATCTTAAATCATACATATATATCTTAGGAATAAAGATAAACTAATTCAAAACAAAAACATTGATGATCATGGAATAAAGATAAACATGGATCAAGTAAAACATGATTAATATTTAAATTTTATTATCAAATAAAATATTAATTCGAATTCAAAAAAAAAAAATACCGTAATTAAAAAAAATATATTAATTCGAATTAAAAAAAAATATTAATTCGATTTTTTTTTAAAGAAATAATAATAAAATTACCATAATTCAAATTACATTACTAATTTTATCACCAATTCAAAATTAATTTACGGATGACAATTCGAAATTAAAAAAAAAAACAAATTACAATCATAATTCGAAATTTAAATTCAAAAAAAAAAAAAACCATAGTCGCGTGCTATATGCGACTCCACCACGGCATAGTCGCATATAACATGCGATTATACCGTGGTACAGTCGAATATAGCATGCGACTACACCATGGTAGAGTCGCGTGCTATATGCGACTGTACCGTGGTATAGTCGCACGCTATATGTGACTGTACAGTGGTGGAGTCGCATATAGCACGCGACTATGCGATTTTATGCGAAAATAAAAAAAAATTACCGACGAATTGGCCGGCGTTTTCCCCGCGTTTCCCGGCAAACGAACCCCCTTCCCACGCCGCGATTCCATTGTCGTCAGCCCCTTCCTTTTTCCGGTTGATTTGGTATGATAAGTGGTTGATTTGGTGTAATAGATAGTGAGAAATTGAATGATTCCGGCGACCTTTGGGTGGTGGTGGTGATGGTGTGTACGGTGATGGTGATTCCGGTGACGGGTGGTGGTGGTGATGGTGGTGGAAAGAGTATAATTGGTGAGAAAAATTGAATAATGTCAAACATAAAATTTATAAGGGTAGATGAGTCATTTAATACCGCGCCCTAATTAATTGTGGCATTTAGTAACACCCTTTAAAAATGGTAAGAGTTAAAGTAGTCAACAATACAGAGTACACAAGATCGAATAGCCCAAAGTTTAGGGTGGGAGACTTCAGTCTTTCTCTCTCCTCAGTTCTTCCCCAACAATAGCTTCTTCAATTACATGTCAATTACAATCAACAAAGCTTCAGATCATCCCATTTCTTATCAGCTGAATTCGTTGATTAGTACTTTTCTGGGCATCTCCAACAACCCCAAGAAGCCCCAACACCATGATTTACTGCAGCAATTAGCGGGATCCATTAATGGTGGTAGCAGAGCCAATTTTTTGGGGTTCTGGTTTAATGCTCTCAAAGTACTTCCATTTATGCTCGTGATTTCTCGGTAGCTGACAGTTTTTTCTGGGTAATTGCTTCCTTATTTTAATTTCTTATAATTTTATGATTTGTTAATTGATAGATTAATGCATTGATTGTAAAATTTGGGTTTGAATTTCATATTTGATTGATTATTATATGCTTAATTTGATACTGAAAGATTTAGGATTCCCTACTACTTTGATGACCTAGGGTCCTGTTAAATTGAAATTCTTAATGAATTGTTAGTTACTGGGTTGTTGCTGTTCTATAAGTAATAATGTACCGGGGACATTTTGCAATTATGTCCATTTCTGAACATTTTAGTATTACTGTAGCAGTTGAAACTTAAAAGGGTGCATTTTTCGAGCATTCTATGAACTTGGACTTGAGAAACCATTTCAATGGGTGTGTGTACAAGTGTTAGAATCGGATAATTTATGGAAAAATTTCAATGCTTTTAATCAAAATTGAGATGTTGAAACTATCCATACCTATGTATGAGTGTCAGGGTCCGGCATGGGTACTTTTGAAAATGATGGGTCATGTATATAACTAACTAATAATCGCTTTGTGTTTGTGTTGCTACTTGCTATGTATTGAAATGTGTGTTAATGGCTCTGGTGAAATACTGATTTAGGCTTTGAAGAGGATTTCAATTAGTGCCTTAGTGGTGCTTTTGATCAGGATTTTACTTCCTTCGTTTCGTTCTAGATGCATTATTTATAAAAACACGGACTTTTAGGCCCTTTTTGGTTGAAGGAATTTGGATGGAAAAGAAAAGAAAGGAAATTGTTTTAATCAAATTCCCATGTTTGGTTGAATAAATGACATAAAAATCTAAAGGAAAGGAAGGGAAGTGGGAGGAAAGTCTCTTAACAAAATTTTGGCTTTCCTTTCCTCCCAAAATCGGAGGAAAGAGAAAAATAAAAGTAATTTCCTTTCTCTTCCCTTTATTTCCTATTCATCAACCAAATATTGGAAAATAAAATCACCTTCCTTTCCCTTCCCGTCCTTTCTCTTCTTTTCCTTTACTAATATTGAACCAAAC